TATCAGATAAATGTATCGTTAAGATGAAAAATCGAGCTTTAGAACAAGCAGGTAACATAGTGTACAATAGATTCAGTATATAAAATAAAATCATTTCGCGCTTTCAGTGCTGCAATTTACTCTTTTCCTAAGTGAATGTTGCTGGAAATCGATTTTGCTTAGTTTATATAGATAATGCATCTTGTCTTGAAAATTGCTTTTCTCCGATATAGGTATCTACCTAAAAACAAAATATCCTCAGCACTATTATAACGTAAGTAGTTCCTGAAGCAGTTCGACAGAAAAATCTTATTTGCAACATTCAGATGTTCTTTTATTTCCATGTGGTTGTTGTACTGCAGTTAATCTAAAATCAAGTTGTGACACATTTCTCCAATTTACCAAACTAAACACATTTTACACGAAACGGAGTCTTTGGATATCCCCTTGCGCAACAATTTTTAGAACCTCCTCTCAAAGTGGCTCTTCACGGTTCTAGTGCCTCAGGACAGTAGAATTAAAGCGAGAGTTGGAATATATTCAGTAACAGCAAAATTCCCCACATTCTGTGATTCTTGTGTACAGTTATGTGAACCTAATTCTTTTCGTAGTGGACGTAATAAAAAATTCAATTCTATTATTTTAGTTTGTATTTTGCAAGGGTTGCGTTTTATTACTACCTTTTTTATTATGTACGTACTTCAACAGAATTAATTACACTTGTTTTTTTACTACACGCCAAATTAATTTTCTGTGTTTAAATTATAAGCGCAAATTTTATTCGTCGTAAACTGAATATAAACGCACTTCTTCGCTACAGTCGTAAAGAGGGATGTCAATATTAAAATCATATTCGGTTCGTAATCGATATCCGACATCATGAAGTTACAGGAAAAGGAGTTCACTAAATTGTAACGCTACATTTGTAAATTATATTTGTTTAAGTGACTAAAAAACCGCGACGTTTAACATCCCTCACTGTGATGTACCTAACTTTTCAATCCGTAGTAAATGCTTCCAGTTTCTCTAATTTGCTCATGAAACATATTAGCCTTCGTGCTTGAATCTATTTGTCTAGTAGGGGTGACATAAATTAAATGGCCTTCACAACATTACATAATCGTACCATTTATCACACCAAAGTGCAATTTCTTCTCCCATGTTATATCAAGAAATTTATTACTACACTATTTTTTCCACCCCTTTATTTTTATAAGCTGTTATCATTCTTATCAGCAAAATAATTTATGCAAATTATTTTCATAAATGGCATGATTATTAATTAATACATAGAACTTTGTGATTTTGGTCACGCTATGTGTGTACAAGGATGTTACGATAAGCTAGTAATGCAACCTGCAAAATATATTCCAATTAATACCCCAGTAATGCTTTGCAACCCAAAGTATTTTATAATTAATTACGGACAGAATCCATTATATTACATAGCGTCTTCAAATAAGCGAAACCCATGTAATCCTAATAATTTATAATATACAGATTGAAGTCATGAAATTTGAAACGTTCAGTTTTGTATCGCTACGTCTAAACACTGTACTTAAAAAATTACAATATGTGAAGATTGGGAATTTATTTATAAAGGGTAGTTCAAAAGGCACGACGGTTATATATACCTATCCATTATGTATGGAATATAGTATACATAATATATCTCGGTAAATATCGGATGTATACAAAATTTTTCTATATGAAAGTTGTTTAACATTTTATTTCCCATAATAAGGTAGCATTCAGTTGTTTTTATTTCAGAAAACAAATGAGTAACGAAAAGCAATTGAATTTTTTTAAATGGCAGTGCACCCTTTCATTATAGACTCATTTGATAGAGATTGTTTTTCTCTTTTCGATTATATAAAATTATTCAAGAAAATTTTTCAAAAAAATTTATTATTATTAGATCTATAACATTAACCCAGATATTCTACATCAATATAAAACAAATGAACGTGTACGTTTCTTATTAATCTTTGGAGACAAAACGAAATTAGCAGTAAAGTGGTTTTGAACGCAATGAACGTTCAAAATGTTCACCTGCAAGACAGTAGCATATCATATATATATATATATATATATATATATATAACCATTTTTATTACATATTCTAAACTGTAATATTCATATCCAAAGAAGTAGTGTACTTTTTAGTAATATGGAATGAATACTAGTAGTTGCCATTAAAAAAATCCTTTCGCCCCTTAAAAAACATCCCCTATCACATCGAAAAATTAGTATATACACATATACATTATACATAAGCCACATAAGGCACTACATCCTTTTTTACAATTTCAAAAATAATTTTTAAACTGTTTTCAGGTGCAGGCAATTCTTTCATTTTAATCGGACGCAATAAACCATACTTTAAAAGCCATCAATGGTCTGTTTACCGAATGCATTTGTTTCCACTCCACTGAATACGTAATAGCGTGCACAACAAAAGCGCCAGAAACCATAGGCAGTGATTGATGCAATTAGACTTACATAGAAATTCTGCACTCTGGTTTCAACATGCCGATGAAAGACGTGCTTTTACTAGAAAGGAATGATACCGGAAAAAGGAAATTGAAATGCAAATAATGAGGGGGGAGGGGGAGAGAGATAAAGATAAAATTTGTGTAAAATTTCTCATACGTTTTTAAATATTTCGCCGATAGTAAATTTTGTATGGCATGCTCCACAATTTCCGGTGGGGTTAAATTTTCTACTTCATTATCACTATGATTTTCTTTAAAAAGGTAAAACAATTTACTAAAAAACGTAATCATCCCCCGCAACTGTCGAAACTAATTAATTAAGTACAGGTAGCAAATGTTTAATATATCAATTAAAATATAGGGGTAGAAAATAGTTATATACATAAGTTAGGAAAATGTCACATTACTGGTGAAATATTGCAGTACGAGGCCGCTTTGCGACCGAGTACTTTAATTTCCGAGTCAAGTAGTGTCATATTACTAACGAGTTTTGTATTATATTACCCAAAATCGTCCTGAAACCTTCATTTTCATGCCTACTTTCTGTCAGGTTTTGGTTTTCATGACAAAGGCAGAGCAGACTACGTTTCCTGCCGCTTGTCACTTTTCTGGCTGCACCTGTCACTTTACCGGCCGCACCAGCACTTTTCCGGTCGCACCTGTAACATTGCTAAATGTCTATCTATGGCTCCTGTCATCACTCACAGAATGACATTAACAAAAGTTCTATATAAACATTGAAATTGTATATTAAAATACGATTGGGTAAAATTTAATACAAAACTCGTCAGTAAAACGACATTACTTGACCCAGAAATTAAAGGACTCGGCCCCAAATGGGCCTCGCACTTCAATCTTTCCTGTGTCATTTTCCTGCCTTTATGTAAATAACTATTACCCGAAATCATATATTTTTTGGATGTCAACTTAACCAAATGCAGACAGACATACTGATTGCAAAACTGGTGAGAATGGGACTCCAACTACCCACCGACATCGTTACTCTTTTGGCTGCCAATGACAAAAATGTGTTCGATGGTATAATACACTTCTTGAGACAAACTCAGATCAATATTTAATTTACAACTCCTAATTTTTTCGCTCCTCGTGTCTTGTCCTTTGTTATAGTACCAAATTACCGAACCGTGGTCTAGTGCATTGTGTTGTCTGTGTAAGTCGCATGGACAGGCCCCTTTGCGTGAAGTCTATGTGGCCAGTGTTATCTCCTTTTGTTAAACAGGTAGGGCTATCATGGGCTTGATCCCGTTAGGGCCTTTAATGAAGAAAAAAAATCATATTTTAATATAAAATTTCAATTTTCATACAGAACTTTTGATCAATGTCAATCTGCGAGTCGTAACAGGAGTCATTATAGACATTTAGAAATGTGATAGGTGCGGTCTGTAAAGTGACAGGTGCGACTGATAAAGTGACAGGCGGCAAGAAAAGTAGTCTGGTCGGCCTCTGTTTTTATCCACAAACATCGGACGAAATAAAATGTTTGACCTTTGAATTAACGGGTCGCAAGCTCAGAAGGGCGCTTTTTGCCAATAATCTGCAATCGAATATAACACAAAACAAAAGATAGGAAGTAATAGCGCGGCATATAAATTCGAGAAAAACGTTTGTCGCGTCGAGCAACTCGGAATACTGAAATTGTAATCAACACTTAAGGAAAAAGAAATATCCAAATGACTTTAAAGTAGAAAAAGCAAAATTTTTTAGCGACACGCTACGCGGAAGGTAACTGGGGAGAGCGCGATATTACAACCGACACCTCTACTTTAATGGAGGGACAGGTAAATTATTGTCAGAGCACGATCTACAATCGCTACTTTAACCAGGGAACAGGAATATACTTAGGAATACGGCAACGATTCTAAGACCCCCTTTCGAGTTCGGTTTCTGTTTATATAGTATTTGGAGGAAAGTGGGAATGTAATGGTGATGGTAATTATACTGGTGGGAATGTCAACAAACATGACGTCTCCGAAACTACCACTCTCTCCTGATAGAAATTGAGATTAATTCCAGATTCCTACAGGAGTCAAATTACGAATTAATTCCATTACATTTTTTCAGTGAAAATAATGTATTAATGCGCCATAAATGTAAAATGTACGAAGTCCCTTGAAAGAGCATATTACATTTTTTCTTAATCTGGTGGTGGAATTTCGAATTAAAAATTGAATGTGGTCCTTAGAGGCCATCATAAAAATGAAACCTATGAGGTAGGCACCATTATTCTACATAAACTTTACATATTTACTTCTAAAGGTAATATTAATTATGCCATCTGATTGAACAACTTCCTCTCTATGTTGAGGAATCATCTCTGATTAACATAATGTAGTCGATACAAACACCCCATTCCTGTAAACCCCAGTCGATCAAATTGTCAAATCGTATGGTAAAAATATGCATCTAATAATTGGTATAAAACTAGATTCATAAATCTCAATGTAAATCAGGTTCTCTCACACCTGCTGTACAACTCGATGTTTGATTTGTGTTTCTTTTTTATAGACAAGACGAGTTCCATTGTAGCAGTTCAAGGCAACGTGGCCAAGTTACCTTGTGATATAACGCCGTCGTTTTCGGCTGACAAAATACACATCGTTATTTGGTTTAAGGAAGATAACGAGGGTAGACTAATGAAACCGATATACACGTAAGTTTTTTTTCTGCTAGGTTTCTTAATAAATTTGCACGGATCGTCGGCGATGTCACCAATGCTTATAAATAAATACAGGGCAATCTATTTTCTCCAAATTAGCTCGAGTTGTTACTACACGCGAAACGGCTACGGGAGAAATAACAAGTTTGATTGCTTTTTCTTGTCTCAGTTTCGATTCCCGAGATAATTCTGTATTAGAACAAGGTAAACATTGGTCGGATGAGTTAATCCTGGGAGACCGTGCTTACTTTCGTTTTTATGAGGATCCGGCGAAGTTGACAATAAACAACGTTCTACTGAAAGATGAGGGATTTTATAATTGCAGGGTTGACTTTAAGCAGTCACCCACGCGAAATTCAAGATTAAATTTGACAGTGATCGGTAAGTGCCGCGATAGTGGAAGCCTAAGTTAACTAATCTACTTTCAGTTCCACCGAGTAGTGTGATGGTATTAAATGAAAAGGGAAATAAAGTTACTAATTACGTTCTTGGTCCTTACATTGAAGGGGACGTAATCTCCCTTACATGTATTGCTACTGGAGGTATTGAGCGGCTTTCGTTTTGGCATTGATCGACTTTCTATTAAATTCTAGGTCTGCCAATACCCAAAGTAACTTGGTGGCAGGAGAACGCCCTTTTAGATGATTCCAGCGAAAATTTGTCAAATAATACAGTACGCAACATACTTCATATGGAAAAACTACAAAGAAAGCATTTTCACACAATATTAACTTGTCAAGCTTCCAACAATGATTTCGTTGCTCCTATTTCTACCTCAATGCGTCTCGATCTGAATTGTAAGTCCTTATTCCATTTAATTATTTAAACGGTATTTCTTTATTTGTCGGTATAAACCGCGGGGATGATTTTTTTTATTTCGTGGATGTCTCTTGAATATAAAGTATAAATTTTCCTTTCCATTTCTTTTAAATTACGGAAAATGTTGAGCTATTGTCTTATGTAATTTTTTTTATATCACGAACAGATTTTATGTCTTTTTGCAAATTGAATACTGGAACAGACAAAATTTGAATGCGGTATCTTCAAGGTACGTTTACGGAGACCGGATTGCATAATTTTCAATTACAAATATTGTATTTAAATGTACGCGAGCCTTCTAAATGGCTAAATAATAAATCTTGTATTCTTTATCGAATGCAATGTCAAAGTAGCACCCCACGCCATTTTTTTGTATAGAAACCTATGTCTAACTAAAATCTAGTCTAACTAAAATCAAGCTAACATAGGTTACTTATGTAGTAATTAGAAATGAATAAGAGTTGTTTTTATAAAGTCATGTGAATTTAATTATAAACAAATTTGTTAATTATACAATTCGTTGTGCTGTGTGTCCAAATATCAAAATAACTTTAATAGGTTACGGGCCTTATCGCTACAATAAAAAGTACTGATCTCTGAAAAGTATTGTACTACAATGACCATTAATGCTTCGTTAGTTACGGAAAAGCTTGATGGGTGCTGCGGGGGTTTCCTAAATTGCCCCACGTTGGGCGCCAATTCACGTAATATGGAATCATACGTCCTAACTTAAATTTCATGATTTTTTTCGCAAAAGACCTTAATTCAGGGTAGTTGCGGGAACTTGCCTAATTGCCGCGGGGGTTTACTAAATTGTCCCACTGACGGGTGACAAAGGTATCTAGGTTATCAATATTAATACTCGGCTACACTTTGTTAATTACCTATTGACCTTGGTTTAATAAAAAAAATGAGAATTGCAATCAGGAAACTGTCGCACAAAAATATCTAGCTCAATCGGTTCAATTTCTTTTTTATTTTTACCTGTCATCCGTTGGTTTGCTCAAGGAATCCACCGCAACGGAAATTCTTACAAAATGAAAACCGGGTAATTTGCACTGGTCAATTCAATAACGACTACCTTTAACTTTTTATATTGAGTAAAAAACAGACACACACGAAAGTTCATAGGAAACTTAAGTATGAATTTCGCTAGCTACAGTAATTCTTTATGAAATGACATAAACTTGGATTCCAGAAAACTATGGTAAATACTGGTCATAAAATTTCTTCGATAAGAATACAAAAATATATATTTTTAAATATTAATATACCTACACAAGGGATAATGGTTTTTTAATTACCAACAATTAATAGAATATGTGTGGAAGTAATTATTCCTTTAGTTTTGCCCCAGTCATTGAAAGGTTTGTACGCCTTTTCGTACCTCTTTCTTGACTTTGTGGGGAGCGAATAGTGCACTACGGAGCCGCAGCTTCGGCTACATTATAACAATGTCTCGCGTAGATACTCTTCTTCACTGATACTTGCTTTTGTACCTATAAAGACTGTATAGTTGAAAATTACAAAGCATAAACTGCATTAAAAATGACACTGATCGTACTTTTCAATAAGCCTCCACGTCATGTAAACGACCGCTTTCATGACTTATTATGTAAACTATTACATACGCATCTAAAAAATGGACCCTTGGTAGTGCAATATTGGGTAACTTCATTAAACCTTTTCTTGGATTATCTTTTTGATAGTGGCAACCAATATTCACCACAACTTTTTTTAAGGTACTTTTGGACCCATTAAATATGTCTTTTTCTTTTAAAACTTGCAAAAGGATTGAAGCGTAAGGTTAGAACCTAGAATACAAACGTAAACTGATACACAAATATTAATGTAATTTTTTTTTTAGTATCAATTGATTTTATTTAAATAATATATAGAATATTTCGAACATTTAAAAAAAGTTTAAAGATTTAAGAGAGGAAGTAAATTTCGTCTGAAGAGATTGTATTGTATTGTGTAACACTAGCAGCATTGCCGCACTGAATGGGCAGACTAAGTTTTTGAATAGGAATGTTTTCGAACGGTGCTCTCCTGTGACATTTTTCTTGCTTAAAATATTCACAAACTTCATAGCTTCCGTATATAATTTAAAAAAAATTTCATTGGCAGTTCTACATTTTTCTTTCTACCTTCTTCACATTCTTTTATAATTTGACAATGTTTATCAAATATACTAAACACGGGGAACACACTTGTACCATTTGCGTCTTCACACATGGCAAATAAAAATTCCTAATCCGAAAGTAGCTACTAGCAAAGCACAGATAAACTAACTTAACTAAATTAATTCATAACGGATTGCAGCAAATATGATGAAAATATTCCCTTCTTCCATATCCTATACGAGTTCGTGCAACCGATCACCATCTTGTACAGGGAACGGAAATTTGCTTCCGGGAGTTCCCGGCCAGGGGGACTATGATTTTCGGATTCAGCGGATTTTTTACATAGAGTACACTCGATTTCGTTGGTGAAATTACAACATCCAGCCTAAACCGTAATTTGATTGGTCTACTTACTGTGTTGGATCATGTCGTAGATGAAGTTCCGAATCGTTACTTGTGTGAAACCATCAATATCCCTAACGGGTTCCTGACATTAACCTTGTTTTTTAGGACTTTCTAGAGGTTTGTCCGATGTAGAAATTCGTGAAGAAAAAGTAACTGTTCGCAGACTAATGTTTAATGTGTCCGCAAATAAAACTTGTTACGTATACGAATTTTTATACAGGGTGTTACATGTAAGTATGTAAAAAAAAATGTGGTAGAGAGGATCAAAGCAAGCGCCTTTGCCTAATAAATCGAGGGTCCAACGTGTTTCGTTTGGCAGCCACCCTAAAAAAAGTGGTGAAATTTGCATTTCTTCTTTAATTTGTCAGCAACCATAAGAATTAGAAAAACTGCCTACAACGAAAGGGCGCACCCCTAAATGGAAGTGCGAAAACAATTCTGATTTCGACGAAATTTGGTATATGGCGGTTTTTGAACATAAAAATGACGAATCTAAAATTAGTTTTTGAAAATTCGCAAAAAAATTCCACTGCAATTCTTGGCCGGGCAACGAAAATGGAGAGAATTCCACGAAATTTGTTGTGTACATACTTAGTTTTTTTAAATCACTTCAAACAAAAACACTTGAAGTTTGGTCCTTCGGATCACATTTCACAAAGTGTCTCCGGCCTGCTGGTGAGTCATGTAATTTCGGATGCGAATGAAAAAATTTTTAAGCCGTTATGGATCTTAAAACCAAAATAGGACGTTTTCGATTCCCCATACCAAATTT